CCGCGGGGCTCCGCGCCTGCGCCCGCTCCGCGCCTGCGCCGCCCGGGGGCGGGAACCGGGCGGGAACCCAGAGCCAATGGGCCCGGGAACGGACAGGGAATGGAACGGGAATGGGCCCGGGAACGGACAGGGAATGGAACGGGAATGGGCCCAGGAACGGACAGGGAATGGAACGGGAATGGGCCCGGGAACGGACAGGGAATGGAACGGGAATCGCCCGGGGAACCGAGCGGGACAGAGGCCCGGGAATGGAACGGGAATCTCCCGGGAATGGAGAGGGAATCGCCTCCGGGTCTGGGCCCCTCGGTTCAGGGAGATCACTGAGGGGCTGGAGCGTGTCCGGGGAAGGGAACGGAGCTGGGAAGGGGCTGGAGCCCCTAGAGCAGCTGAGGGAGCTGGGAAAGGGAGAAAAGAAGGATTAAGGGGAATTTCTGGCTCTGCACAGCTCCCTGACAGGAGGGAACATTGTCTTAAGCTGCACCAGGGGAGGCTCAGGGTGGACACCAGCAGGAATTTCCTCACAAAAAGGGTGGTCAGCCATTGGAAAGCGCTGCCCAGGGAGGTTTGGAGTCCCCATCCCTGGAGGTGTCCAAGGAATTCCTGGAGGTGGCACTCAGTGCTCTGGGCTGGGGACAAGCTGGGGGTCAGTCACAGGCTGGACTCGATGGTCTTGGAGGGCTTTTCCAACCTCAGGGATCCTGGGATTCAGTGACAGACACACCAAGGCTGAGCTGAGGGGATGGGTCACCCTGAGCCCTGCGTGGAGCAAGGGAGGAGTGGGAGAATCACAAAAAAATGGACAATTACATTTTTAGAAATTTTTGTTGACACCGACGTGCTGAGGGAGCACCTGCAGCATCACCCAGCTTCACCTGTGCTCAGGAGAGAATATCCCGCTGCACTGGGTTTACCCAGCAGACCTCCCTAAAATCAAGTGTCAGACCCCTTCAAAAGAAATATTTTAAAATCACAGCCTATGTTCCGTTTTTCTAATTAAAAGCTAAGGTTTTGAACCATTTAGCATTCTGATTGAGAGGGTGGAAAAAGTCCAGAAAACTGAGAAATGGAAGCAGTTTGTTTTTTTCTTTCAATAATTGCAAGCAGTATCTCAAACTCAGCAATCTTAGACCATTGAGCTATCTAGTATGAACATGTTAATTAATCAATTACTACCCAACAATATGCCGTTTACTCACTATACTACATGTGTGTAGAACAAGTAATTATTAATCATCACCAGCAACAAATTTCCCCTTCAATTTCACCTCCCTATAATTAATAGAGCGTACAGTTTAGCTTTGATATCTTTCTTAGTAGTGATAACAGTGGCTGAAGATAGAAAAGTTGGAACCTTGTGCTGTGCTGAAGGGCTGAAATAAAGTATTGAACCTGAAGAGTGATGCAATGCTGTTGTATTTCATTAATTGCATTAATGAAGGTTGTCAATGATTGTAGTTCTTCATCTTTTGTTCTTCAATATAACAAAGTCTAGTATAAAATAAAACACAGAGGATCTGTACAATGTAGCAGGGGGTGCCTCAGATCTACAGTATCCCATTGTTAAGTGGATTTGATAGGAATGTTTAAGGATAGCCTTAAAAATCCAGGGATTTATTACCTTACCCTAGGTTAAGGTGGTAAATTCTCCTGATCTTGAGGTACTGGAGATCTTCCAAGAAAGAGAGAAGGTGAACGTTTCATTTCAGAAGACATCTGGAAGTGGTTGTGTTGATAAACTGCTTTTTTTCTTTTTTGCTAGGTTTGCTCCAAGTTGTGATTCTAAATGTGGAAATGTGGACTAAAAGCTTTTTTTTTTTTCCTTTTTTATCCAGGGCTTTAAACCCAACTACCTAGAACAGCAGACCCAGTTTCCAGTGTCATCAGCTCCAGGTAGCTCTTGACCTGAAGAGGTCTGTGCTACACTAAACTCTGGCTGGAACAAAATCCACCAAGTGCTGCCAGTTAAACATCTCCATTTCCAGCTCTGACTCCTGGGGAGCACAAATCCTTTATTTTAATTGTCTGCAACCTCTGCAGTTGCTGCCAAACCTGCTGTCCCTCACCTCCTTCCATGAGCATTCCTCCACTCCCTGCAGCTGAGGAAGCAGCTCCAGCTTTTGCCCAAATCTGGCATTTTTTGGGGCAGTTTCTGATGAGAAGCCACACTTGGGCCACCTTTAATCTTTTGCTTCACACTTGTTCTGTTTTCTTCTCAGCTCATGTTTGGAATTTCAGTCTACAGTTCAACAACTCTATTACCCTTTTAATGAGTGGGAATAAATAATGCAGTAGTGTGGAGAGAATTACATTCCTGACTTTTTACCAATGTTATAATTTCATTTTCAGTCTGCAGCATTGCTAAAAGAACACACATTTTTGGCACCAGCAGCATGGGAGCTGAATGTGAGACTGGATGTGAGAGCTGAATGTGAAAGCAGTTTCAATCCTTCCATCAGCTCAAGGCTCAGAAGTGTTAGTAGTAATTAAAAACTTTTTTTTTCCCCCCTCCTCAAAATACATTTCACACTTTGCACAGGCTGAGAAATCTCTCTCACCACGGGAACTTTCAGGTCGCTTGTTTCCTGCAAAAACAGGTACAGTTTTCTTTTGTCAGGGTAGAACAAAGGCAGAAGGAAGTGCAGGTTTCATTTCCTCCTAGGACACTGCAGTCTATTAAGTGCCAGTGAACTAATGAGCCTCTCAGACCTTATGTTGTTCTGGCTTGGATCAAGGCTTCCTTTTCCTTAACCCTTTGCAAACCAGCTCAAGTGCAGCTAAATTCCACCTTGGGAAAAATCTCTGTGGCCTCTGGAGTATCCAAACCCAACACTGCACTGCTGTAGAACAGCGATAAAACCAGGAATTAAAAACACTCCTGTGGATTTTGATTTGAAGCAGGAATTGGAATTTATGCAAATGTTTTCATCTGCAATGAATTAATTCTGTGACAGAAGTAGAAGAGGTAAAAATTCCACAAAAAATAATGTTTCATGCTGAGGGATCGAAGATTTGCTGTCAGAAAAAAACTGGGTGCTGATCTCATGCAACTGCTTACTCTCATTTAGTGTTTGTGTTAAAACTGGTTTTGCCTGAGCTTTTTGGGAAGTAATTCCAAGGATACTTGCAATTCCTAGGATAACAGTCTTCATTCAATGAGATCTGCTCTTCCATAGTAAAATGTGGAATGTGTTGTCTGTTGGGATATTAATGATTTGATGGATAAAGGTAATTTTACAAATATAATATTGTCCTTTAACAACAGTACACAGCAACTGTGACCAAAAGGATCACCAGTATCTAAAACACAGATGGACAGACCTGCAAAAGTCAGGGAATTCCAGGAATCATAGTGCAAGTGGAATTCTGTTGATGAATTAGTGCTGTTACTGTTCTTCCTGATAATTTGAAAATGACCATAAAAGAACTGCTGCAAAAGTCTTTAGACAGCAGAAAAATCAGCACAACATTAGAGATGGCTCTGCAGAGGAATGTGGGATTACTGATAAAGTGGGTTTAAAATTAAGGCATTTATAGGCAAAAGAACCATAGGATAAATTTGGGTTGGGATGGACCTTAAATCTCATCCCATTCCACCCCTGAATGGGCAGGGACACCTCCCACTGTCCCAGGCTGCTCCAAGCCCCATCCAGCCTGGTCTGGGACAGTCCCAGGGATCCAGGGACAGCCCCAGCTGCTCTGGGCAGCTGTGCCAGGGTCTCACTTCCCTCCCAGGGAAGGATTCCTTCCTAATATATCAACTAACCCAAATTTCCTTCCATTTGAAGCCATTCCCCGTTGTCCTGGCACTCCAGGTCCATCTGAGCAGTCTCTCTCCATCTTTCCTGTAGCCCCTTCAGGGCTGCAGTGAGGTCACCCCAAAGTTTCTCCTCTCCAGATGAACAATCCCAGTTCTCCCAGCCTTTGCTCCCAGCAGAGCTGCTCCATCCCTCTGCTCATCCTGGTGGCCTCTGGACTGTCTCTGCCAGGTCTAACCCTGGACCTCCTTTCCTGCCTTTCAGTGTTCAGTATTTCAGCCCACAGCCTGTTGGAAAATTTGGGCTCTCAGGGCTCTTTTCAGTGGATCTCCTGCTCCGAGTGACAAAGGCAGCAGGAGCCCATTAATCAGATTTTTAACCCACATGCTGAACTTCAGGAGTGACAACAGGGACATGAGCAGCCTTAGGATGATCCTGTGCTTTTCAGCAAGAAAGGTGGGATGTTCCCACTGCCACAGCCAGGAATCACGGAGATTTTCTCTCAGTTAATGTTACTTCACGCACCAGCTCAGAAGGAAAACCAAACCTGTTCTTACAGATGAGGAAGCATTTCCAGAAGCATAAGGAATGAAGCACTTGAACATTTTCTGTTAACTATTCTTTCAGAGCATCTGCTTCCCGAGGTTTCTCTTCTTCCAATCCCAGTTTGTTTTCTGCTGTAACTCCTAGAATTGCTTCAATATCTCGAATTGCCATCTGTAACAGATTCCAGGAATACAAGTTATTTAATGGGTATTATAATGGAATCCAGCAGCCAGGGTGCACAGCTGGCAGTGCCTGCCTTGAACAGGTAACAGGGTTACACGGGACAGGATGCACCAATTAAATTTAATATTACTTTGGGGACACTTGGGGGAATTATTAGTAAATATGTACAAATCCCAGGTAACTAAAAATGCAATTTGTACTCCTAATTAACTAACAGGTGTTTTATTTCACATATGTTCACTCACAATGAAGAAAAGTTTATATTTTTCTTCAGTGGTTGCTTTTCATCCCCTCATATTGAAAAATGGGATTTTTTTTCTTGTTGTTTATTCTGTAACAGGTTGAAATTTAATTATGTCTTCCCCAAAATCTGTCATTTCACACTCTACTTGAAAATCCAGTCAGGGTGGAAAGAATCTGCTATAAATTATGTGACATGACTGAAGATACAAATCTGACACAGCGTTCCCCTTTCACAAAACACACACAGCCAGGATCCTGGGAAGTTTTTATAAAGTTAAAGGTGATGCAGCTCAGCAAAAGAAGTCCCTGTGGGAAGCTGAGCAATTCTCTGGAATCCAAAATCAGCTTTGTCAGGAGGGTTTGTTCCAGGGCACGGGGCTGGATCTGTGATTGCTTTCCTGGCTGCTCTGGCAGAGAGCTGGGGGAACCTCCCCAGCGTGAGCAGCCCCTCTGCTTTGTCCTCCCCCCTCGTCCAGGGATGGGGACACCCAAAAAGCAGAGAAAATTTGGGAACAAAATCCCTTTGGGAAATGGATGGTGGGGTGAGGGATGGGAACGAATGGATTAGTGGTTGCCTGCTTAGAAGAAATCAGTGTTAATAATCCAAGCAGTTATTATCAACTGAGAAATTTGTTTCTAATTTAAGATTCTTACCTTGATGGTGTCCCTTTAAAATAAATCAGGCAATTGTGACAGAACTGTGTGAGGCAGTGCCAACAGCTCCTTTGCTCTTCCAAAGGACACTCAGGAGCATTAGATTACAAATAACTTCACGCTCAAGGATGTCTCTTTTCAAAGAAAAAGTTTCAAACTTAAATTTAACTAACGGGTTCTGTGGGAGACCGACTACACTGACCCAGACACTGTAAACCACACACAGCCAGTGATAAAAAAGGAATGGTTTAGCACTTGTTTATGATCCAGCATGAGGTATTTGCAGGCCTTGTACAGAAATTAACCAGGATCGTTAGTTAATTAACACCTCACCTTAAAATTGGTCTCGCCTTGCATATTAGGTGCTGATATTTCTTGATGGATGATGAAGAGATTGCGAGCAAAGGTCAGGAGGACCCCCTGGAGATCCTCTCCAATTGTTCTGTTAATGATATCCAAACAAATGAGTTTACCAATGATTCCCTTCACATGCTTAAAAACAATCGCCCTCTCATTTGTGCCTGCCTGGTGCTGGAATTTAATGAGGATTTTCAATCTCACAAGGTGAAAATCTTCAGGGAGATATGAAAGATGAGGCTCCATTTTAACTTGTCAACGGAAAGGATTTGTGTAATAAATAATTTTTATTAATCAACTTAGCAGAAGTAAGCAGAGAGGTTTCAGCTACTCCAAGTAAAAGGTGACTGCTGAGGTAGGACTGAGGCAGCAGCACACTTGAAACACCCACATTAGTTGGGGAAAACTGTTGCTTCAGCCTAAAATTGGGAAAGACGTTTCAGCAGGATCAACATTTCTGAGATTGTTGCAGCTTTTGAGGCTTTGGTTTCCCAGTGGTACACGCAGACTCTCCACACTTTATGGAACAGGGAATTACACTGAGGAATAATGTGCCTCATTAACTGGAATCGACCACAGATCTCTGATGGAATAAAATGGGTAATTCTCAGAGATGTTTCAGGTATTTCAGTTATTTTATAAGCTCCAGCTCCTACAATCTTGAAATTATTTCCCAATTAAGGCTATGAAATTGCACTGAAAATGTGATGGCAGACAACAGGAATCCTCTTTGCTGCAAGCTGAGTTTATTTCTTCTTGTCCTACTACCAAAAAATCAGATTTTTCCTTCCTGCAGAGGCTTCTTCTGTGCTGGGAGATCGTTAGCAGATCCCATTTCTGCCCTCCCTCTCCTCTGTAGTCTTTCCATGTCAGTCATGCTCTCCAGAGCTCTAAACATTTTCATTGCCTCCCTCTCACAGAACAGCAGGATTTCTTCCAGCATCTCCCAGGACACACATTTACTTTTTTCCACAGGATCAGGACATCATTTGATTCACAGATCCTGTTCCCAAAACCTCCTTGTTCCTCATATTCATTACTGCTCTCTAAATGTAATTTCTTCCACCTGGTTCCAACCAAACCTAATTTGATTTCTCATATTGTTCCTTCAATTTGTGGAGATCATTTTGAATTCTATTCCTGCCCTCCAGAACACTGTGCAGACACATCCAGCACTTGAAGAAGCTGTTTTGTTATCCAGGTCATTAATGAAATAGCTGCAGCATCAAAGGAATACAGAACAGGCTGAGAGCAGAACGCTTCAGCTCCTCACTTATTACATCTTATTTTGGCAGGAAACATGGGCAAGAACAATATAAAAAGGCATTAAACCTCACCCTCCTTTGCCTGGTGGAAGTCAGGTTTTTAATAATGTTGACTGGAAGAGTAAGCCTGTGCTAATCCATGGGAGAGATTGCTCCTGACAGGGAATGCAGCTCTCCTGAAGCCAATTCCAGCTGGTCCTGAGCCTGCAGTGCCACCAGCCCTTGGGCTCAGCACATTCCTGCCCTTCTTTTATTACTGAAATGCTTAAAACCACCCCAAAACTCTCCCAAAAGCCAAGCGTGACAATCAGGTGTTCTGGCTGTTCATTCCCTGCCTGGCCTTTGTCACTCCCTGCACACTCAGAGTGTCCCCAGGTGTTTGTCACCCTGGGTTAGGGACAGTCCACACTTACATCATTCCCAAACTGTGTCCCAGAGTGTCCCCAGGTGTTTGTCACCCCGGGTTAGGGACAGTCCACACTTACATCATTCCCAGGCTGTGTCGCTTCTGGTCTTCATACAACACAAAAACTGTTCCTTGTTTTTCCTGTTAATTAAGACAAAATTGCTTTATTTATTCCTGAAGGAGTGGTTTGGAATTGTGTGTAAGGAATTCTTGCTCAGTTTCAATAGATTATTGCTCCAACCTATTGCAGAGAACACAGTAAATACAGCAGAGTCTATTCCAGAGCAAATCCTTGGGTTTCAAAGCAGTAAGAGGTGGTCAAAAGTAACTTAAAAATTATCTCCTTAAACAGTTATTTTAATCAAGAAGCAAGTTAACCCCTAAAAGTCTTACACACACTTAAACTGAAAGAAAAATAGGTGTATGTGGCATTTGAGAACATGGTTTAGTGGTGAACATTGGGGTGGTGGGTTGATGGTTGAATGATCTTAAAATCCTTTTTCAACCCTAACAATTCCATGACTTATGATTTACATTGCCAGAAGTGGTTTTCTCATAAAATAATTTACAAACAAACCTTCTGCAGAAGGAATTTCACATTTTCTCATCTTTCCTGTTCATACCTGGAGGTCAAATCCAACCCCACGAGCTTTACAGGTGTGGAGGAGAAGGTTGTAGGAGATCCCTGAGAGGCTGGAATGTCTCAGCTGGCTGCTGGCCACGGCACACCGGGGGCTGCTTGGGGCAGGCTGCAGAGAACAAGCCAGCATTCTTCATTTTCACACTGCTCTGCATCAGAACCTAAATGCTAAATTACTGACTTTTCACCAGGGATGGAGGCACAGGACAAGAGGAAATGGCTTCAAACTGATAGAGAGTAGGGTAAGGTGAGATGTTGGGAGGAAATTGTTCCCTGTGAGATGGGGAGATCCTGGAATGGATTTCCCAGAGAAGCTGTGGCTGCCCCTGGATCCTTGGAAGTGTCCAAGGCCAGGTTGGACAGGGCTTGGAACAGCCTGGGATGGTGGAAGGAGTCCCTGCAATGGCAGAGGGTGGAATGGGATAAGATTAAAGTGCCTTTCAAACCCAAACCACCCTGGGATTCTGGGATTCTATAAACAGCTTTTTACCAGTGCATTCAGTGTGGAGTAAGACTCCATTTGGAGGAATTCCTGTTCCTCACAGGCTCTGCTGGACACAGACATTTCCATAAACCCCTGTGTGATAAATCAGATCCACAGAACTGCTCTTTCTGCATCACATTTTGGTGTTTTCACAGCTTCAGTGGTCACTGAGCCCCGTGAGAGCACTGAATCCAGCCTGGCCTTGGGCACTGCCAGGGATCCAGGGGCAGCCACAGCCCCTCTGGGCACCCTCACCCTGCCAGGGAGGAATTTATTCCCAATATCCCACCTGACCCTGCCCTCTCTCCCCCTTGGAAAAAGGTCAGTGCTGCATCAAATTTAAACTCTGGCTCAGGCCAGAAGAACAGAGATGTTGCTTTGAGGAGATCTGAGCAGAGCTGTTCTAAACCAGGGCTTTCCTGGTGTTATTTTAATGTTGGACTCTTCCCTGGGAGCAGGGGCACTGCACATCAAAGCCTGTAATTTACAGTATTTCCCCTAAAATGATATTTGTTTTGACGTTGACTCATTTAAGTTGACATAGCTGAAATCCTGATCTAATACATCTCTGCCTGAAAATTAATCATGTTTATAATATTCTGAGAATTAATAACACCCATTGCTCAAGTCATTAACTTAAAAAAGGAGCTTCCAAAATCTGTTTCTCTGCAGTAGGGGACCACAAATAAATGAATGCTTGATAAAATAATCCAAGCAGCAGTTTAACAAGCGTAAACTTGAATGTGGCTGCAATAACACAGAACTATTGTTTAAGGGTTGGCATCAGGTTGATGAGGTGCTTATTTCAGCTACAAAGCATGCATACACATGCATAATGAACTGCAGGATGAATTATTAATGTGTTGCTTATTTAGCCTCATCTGTCTAGAAGATAATGTATCCTAACTATAATGAGTGATTGGTTTTGTACATAATTACAGGAGCAGCAGTATCTAGGAAATTTGTTCTTTCAAAGAAGGAGTTCTAAAAATAAAATCCTCGCACAAACTCCGGGGCTGCTCCGTTTTATCAAAATCAACCCTACCAGCATGGAGAATATCTAATAAATTAAAAGGGACAGAATCATTATTAACATCATAATTTTACACAAAGTGTTTTACTTAATCATTCATTACAGATCATGTGCAGTAAAAACATTTGTCTCTTGGTTTGTTTCTTTTTCTCTTTTCCTGGGAGACTGCAGTCTTGTAGTTAACTCTTTAGGAGATAAAAATCGAAGAAATACAGAAAGAATTAAAAATAAAGCATATAATGACAATTTATGTTCATTCTGACAGAATTTTAATTAAAAAAAAAAAAAGTTGCTACTCGATTACTTTTCATTTCTAAAACTTGGACTACAGGGACTAATCAGATGTAATTTACTTCTCTCCAACTAAAAGTGGTTGCTTGACGAGAACAATGGATCAAGAGCTCGTTAACCTCTAAATTACAGCTCCATGACATTTTTGGAATGGTGATACATTCCCTCCTCTATGGATGGAAAAAAGGGAGATGTGAATCTTCTGCCAAAATATGGCAAACAGCTTTTGTTTTCTATCCCTATGTGTATGTACACAGACATACACTTCTTATGCTGACTTTTCTAAAGACCTTTCTTCCCATTTTATAGAACCCCAGAATATTTGGGTTGGAAGGGATCTTAAAGCCCATCCCATTCCATGCCCAAGCCATGGCAGGGACACCTTCCACTATCCCAAGGTGCTCCAAACCCTGTTCAATCTGCCCTTGGACACTTCCAGGGATGGGATTGTTCCACTTCAACTCCTACTGTGCTGTTATGCCGTGGCTTTATTAACCTGAATAAAGGTAAAATCCAAGAGTAGCAGCTTAAAACCTGAAGGGATCAGATTCAGCTCCTCTAGAGCAGATGAACTGGCTGTTCCATGCAGGATTATATTTGGGACCACATCACTGCTTACAGGTTTTGTCCCCTCGTGCTGAAGCTGTTGGCTTTTGCTCTCCTTTGATCCCAGAGGTCCTTGCAGGCCACAATCCAGATTTCCATCTGTCAGGTACAACAGGAGCCGAGTCAGGGCCAGCTGGTCACTGTAGCAAAGGTCAAGGTCTGTTGCCCACACCTAATCAAAACAAAGAGGGACATCCAAATAAGTTAAAAAGAACAACAAGAACAGTACAATTCAGCAGTTGTGAAGGAACATCTCTGCCTTTTTTTTTTTGTCCTGTGTGTTGGCATTCCTGCTTTTGGCTTCCTGGTGCTGGAGCAGGGCTGGCAGTGATGAAGATGTGAGGAAGGAATTCCTGGTGGGAAGGGAGGTGAGGCCCTGGCACAGGGTGCCCAGAGCAGCTGGGGCTGCCCCTGGATCCCTGGGAGTGTCCAAAGCCAGGCTAGATGGAGCTTGGAGCAGCCTGGGACAGTGGAAGGTGTCCCTGTCCCTGGCAGGGGTGGCACTGGATGGGTTTTAAGGTCCCTTCCCACCCAAACCATTCTGGGATTCTGTGATTCCACAAACCACTTCCAAACAGGAGCAAGCAGAACTCTTCTGTAAATTCAGAAATAATTTCTCAGGCAGGACTCAGGAGGCTGAGGGAAGCACTGTGGATTGCTTCTGCAAGGCTCCTCCACCCCAATAACCAGAGCTTGGTTTTCCCAGAGGTTTTTCCCACTTAAAAAAACCCCTGTGCCTTCCCTGCCAGTGAGCAACGTTCCCACCACCAAGATCTGCCCTACAGAGGACCCCTTAAAACAAATCTCCCCGTGAACAACTTGCCTCAGCCCTGGAATGGTAAATGGACTCATTATAAGGATATTAAGGGGTCAGGCAGCCAAGGCCTCTTGGAAAACTGGAGTCAATTTCAGAATCATATGCACAGAGTAATGCCCTTTGGATAATGGGGAATAAATCACCCCAGTAACAGTTGTTAATGTCTAACTGCCAAGTATCTGTTGCTGTATTAAATATCCTATTTGTCAACTTAAATATTTCCTGCTGCACGGTCTAAAATGCAAATTGGATGCTAATGGCTGCCTTTACTTAGTAATAGGGGAATGTTCCCCAATTATAATACTTAATTTTCTTCAATAATTTATTGTTTAGCATCACTTCTGCAAGACAGGAAGAACTTTGCTGTCCATTTCTCCTTTTCTAGTGTGTGCTAGCCTTTTCAACGAGCCAAATAATAATTAGAAACTATTCATATGGTGGGAGCATTCCATTAATTTTGATAAATATTATCAACAAATCTGTTGTTGCCAATGGGTCCTAGATCTTATCTGAGCTGGGTTTTACATTCCCAGTTAAAACTTTGCCCTCAGAAGGAAGTGGCAAAGCTGCCTGAGGGAACCAGGGACTGAAAATCTTTGGTATCTGAGGGCTGTTCACTGGCTCCAAGTGAAGTGTTTGCTCCTAATCCAGACCCTGATATTACACCTGACCTCAAAATCCACACCAGGAAGCTTTGCTGGGCACAAACTGAGCTGCAGGAGGCAAGCTGGACTGAAGGGGGACTGTAAAAAAAGGTTAAGTAAAAACATCCCTGCGGCTGAAGTGAGTCCCAGAGCAAAATGCTCTGAGGCTGAGAATTTAACAGCAGATAAAACATTTAAAAAGCAGCCTGGCAAAGCTAAGCAGCCATCAGCAATGGATAAATTCATTCCACCCTCCCAGGGATTCACACAAACCCCACCAGGTGTGGGGCAGCACCAGCGTTGTGCAGGAGTTCCTCCCCAGATCCCACCTGGACAGTACCTACAATTAAAACACGTGCTAGTGGCATTGTTTTAATTTCAGATGTAGAGAGAAACCCATTAATTACTTGTGTGATCCTTTTCACATCATCTAAACAAAGCCCCAGCATGCCAGCCTGGCTCCAGTGCCCACTGGCACGTGCCCAGGAGCTGCTCTGGGAAGGACAGGAGCTCTCCTGGATGCCCTGCTCCAGGGAATGGCTCCAGCTTGCCCAAGGAAGGGGCTGGGAGAGCAGGGAAAAACAGAAAAAGCTTTTAGCAGGGCAACTTTAATGCTGGAAATCACCAGATTGACCAAATACTGGTTTAGGGTGTTTCTCTTTGCTTCCAGAGGGGACTAAATAGCTTTTGGACGTGGTTTCATCATCTCAGCCCAATTTCTGCTGCTGCCTACAAAATGAAGAGTTTGGATCTCCAGGGGGGATGAAGGAAGGTGTCCATCCCCTCCCCTGCTGTAACAAGGGAGAGCTCCAAAACCTCCTTAAGCTTCATGTTCTCCTTAGCTAAAGTCATTGTAATATTTTACATTTTCCAGTGTAAGGTGTGAGGAGGAGGAGCAGGAAGAATAGGAGGAAGGCAAACATGGCTGGAAGCCACCTGTCCACCTCCTTTCATCCCTGAGCCTGGGGCTGAACCACCCCTGTTGGAAGTGAGAGCAGCCAAATGGTCACTCCTTGGTGCCAGCTGGGATCACCCCCAAGGATGGTTTTCCTGGCTCAGGACTCTCCGAGAACACTTTGATTGTGGCCACGTCCCCTCCTGCCCTGGATGTGTCCCAGAACATCCCTAAGGTGGGGGAGAAAGGAAGAAGGATCAGATGGCACAAGATTTTCCAGCTTTTTCCTAGCAGGGGATTCCCTTTTGCCATGGAAACACAAAAATGCCCTTTAAATCTCCTTTGTGCTGCTACAGAAATGGGAGGACACAGGGCCTGGACAAGGGGTCTGACCAGATAAATCATCCCCTCCAGTAAATCAGGAGCTCTTAGGAGATGACCTGTGCAAAGGTGAAGTTGAAGTTAAGGATAATAAAATCCTACAGATTATTCCCCATTTTCTGAGCACATACAATAAGGGCACGGATGTAATTGTACATATTTATGATTGGAGGTGTAAAACCCTGATAGGGTGCATGGAAAAATTAGCAGAACACAAGGAATACAATTTTCATCTGAAATGTGGGGATTTTCAGAATTTATGTTCAGAAATTAAACTGGAACAGAACAGTCCAGAACTGATACTTGATTATCAAAGTTCAAAGGCAGGGGGTAGAGGCAGTAGTTAAGATCTTAAATCGATTTAAGACTGGTTTTAGGTCAAGCTAAGCAGAGAACAGATTAGGACTCTCCAGAATCCCACCAATGGAAAAAATAATTTAAATACATCCTACAAGACTTGCTGGCTGTTTATCCAAGGAAATATTTGCTTCCAGGGGATTCTCCTTTGGCACACACAGCTTCAGAGTCGGCGCTTCGTGGTGAAGACATCTCCAGTGAATAAAGTCACAATTATGCTGGAATTCTTTACAGCTTCCATAAAAACGCTTCAGCTTTAGAATGTAAACTTGAGAAGGGAAGGAAACATAAATTCTTAAAGAGTTACTAAATTACAGCTCGGCTCTCTCCCATTTAACTGTTTTGTCTGCAGCTGGTATCGACGGCTGCGTTATTGTAAAGAGCTCCCGTGCTATTTTTAAAGAAGTGCTTGAGTGATACTGTAAAAATGTCAATTAGTAAAATATTAATGCAATGGGGCGTTGGAAAGAGAGTGGCTTTTACGACTTTTAAAATCTGCAGGAGAATTGATTGGGGCGGTGCTGGCAGGCTCTCATCCGGCTGCCATCTCGTGGCAGCTGCTGGGATGGGCTGGGGCTCACCCAAAAACTTCAGTTTTAGGGCTCTGCAACTCCTCCGTCCTGCTGGATATAAGGTTGGGAGATGGCTGATGACAACACCGTGGCTCTTGTTGGAAAAAAAAAAACAACATAAAAAATGTTCCATTGTCAGGAGAGATCTTCGGACACGTGTGGGAATTGTTTATCCAATGTTCCCTCATTAGTGCTGGGAAAGGCTGGGGCTGTGTAAAACCTGTCAGACCCATGGAAAAGGTGGATTAGGATCCTATTCCTCCAAAGTATTATGTAAGGAAGTTGATGTGTTGAAACATTCCCACTCAATCCAGTGGATTTATCTGGGTGCAGCTCCCAGCTGGGATCTGACGCTCAGCACTGGGCAGGATTTCACTCTGGTTTCACTCACATTTCCAAAACTTTGCTTGGAATGATCATCTTGGAAAATAAAGTGGGAATCAGGAGTGATTCACTCCAAATTACGCTTTTCCACTTCTTCCCCAAGACACTGAAAACATCATCTCCATCTCCCTTCCCCTCAGGATGAAGGCACAGTTGTAACTGAGATGGAAACAAATTCCTGAGGAAAACAGGGAATTATGAGGAGTCCCAGCTTTCCCTGCCCCTTGGATCTCTTGGTTCCCACTGAGCTGTGTGACAACACACATTCCTTATCCATCCTTTCCTCCAAAGATCACTATTTTCTGTAAAACACGCTTGGGAAGAATTCCTGAGTATCCTGTACTTCCAGGAAAATGCATCTGATTCTCCCACCTAAAGCATTTGAGTGGACACTTGTGAAACGAGTGAGCAAATGTTCCAAGGGTCTGAAAGGATTTCTTGTTTGCCAAGAAATGGTGCTTTCAGGAACATGGGCCTTTGTGTGATCTCTCTCTCCCAAGACAGATGGCCTTGTTAATTGCCTCCACATCCAGTTAAATTTAAAAACCTGTGCTTAAATAATGTTAAAGTTGTGGTACATGCTGATAAACACAGGAAATGTTAAGGTAAAAATCAGCTGGGAAAAAGGGAAGAAAACCAAGATGGAACAGACAGGAATTCTAGGAAGACACAAGAATCACTAAATGATTTAATGTGTCCTTGTTTGTACCAGGAAGTATCACAACAATTAATAATCCAGGAAGCATTCCTGCATTTCAGTTACCTCCTGGCTTGAGTGAAGCAATTGGCAAAACTCCCATGGACTTCTGTGGGTGAGAATGTCATCCCTTAATCTTTTTAAAGCAATTTCCATGGAACTTATCCAATATGGCTTATCCAGAGTTCTGATTATGATGCCTGTGTACATCCATTTTGGGAGTCAAATATAGCTGGCATGGGAATTCCAGAGCTCACAAACCACTGTGCCCTGGCACAGGGTGCACAGAGAAGCTGTGGCTGCCCCTGGGATCCCTGGAAGTGCCCAAGGCCAAGCTGGAAGGAGTTTGGAGAAAGCTGGGATAGTGGGAGGTGTTAGAATGAGGGGTTGGAATGAGATTATTTGTAAGGTTCCTTCCTACCCAAAGTATTCCATGATTCCATGATTATTCTCATTCTCTGGTGCACCACAGCCACCCTGCAGTGCTGTCAGTTACCAAAAATCTGAAAGTTCCCCAGTTCCCCACAGCCTTAAAATTCCCTTTTACACTGAGGTGTCCTCAGTGAAGATTCCAGAAGAAAACAATGTCAGGAAGGTGAAAAACAATGAGATGCATCAGGTCTGCATCTGAGGCTGTTAGAACACCCCATGTGCTTTCCTCAGCTCACACGCCCCAGAGTTTGGAAACTGTTTGCTCCAAAGGACAAAGCTTTCTCCTGATATTTTCTGGAGTTCCATAGGAAAGTTGGAATTTCTCCATCTCAGGGAGACAGGGTGAGGTAACAAACCTGCCCCACTCACCTGCTGCTCCCTGGTTTGGGGATGGGTGAAAGCCACAAAGTCCACGGAGAAGTAGCCCAGCACTCCTTTGGATTTACAGGCCTCCCCAATTTTCAAGCAGAGCACTCCAAGAACCTCTGGATCCACGGAACGCTGTGGGATGGTGGTGCCTGAAGATCTGAGGGGCCCCTCAGCGTGGAGCTGATCTCCAGATGACAGCAGTGTCACCTCCCCCGTTGGCTCTATCAGCAGATCCACCGTCAGGTTGGCGACGCTGGCCGAGAATGGGAAGGCTTCGATCACTCCGCCTGGAAAGGAATTTTCCTGGAATCAAATCCACAAGTGCTGCCCTTTGGAGTGCACAGGATGGAGCCACCAGCTCCAGCGGGGATTGGACACACAGCAAATAAATCAGTGGAATGGGAGCAGCAGAGCCAGAATCATGGATCTCTTGGAGGAGAAAGGAGTTTAATTAGAGGCTTTTCAATCCCACTCCAAACTGGATAAATCCCACAGATGACTGGAGAAACAGGCTCTGGGATAGCAGGAATGAATCCAGCTCAACACCAGGCCCACAACAGCTGGGAAATGCAATGTTGGGATTGGGGGGAGCTGTAACTCCTGCTGTGAGCTCATCTTGGAGACTCCCATCCATGTAATGGTCTTAGATAAGAGTCTGCCTGTGGCATTCACCCACAAGAGGAATTTGGCATGGAAATAACAACTTCCAGCGTGTTTTTCCATAGGAAAACCACCAAGATTTGGCATTCTGGATTTGCCTTTTCATTGCATATAATGCCATAACCCAATTTGTTGGGATAAACTGCTATGTAATAAAATTGGTACTAGATGTGTTAAGCGGCATTATTTAAAAAGAAAAATATCTTCAAGGCTTTGACTCATCCGTGTCTCTTCCATAAAGAAATCTATATATTAAATATTCTCACATTTACCTCACGTGCTGGAATTGCCTAAAACCTTTCCCCAAATGCGACAGCCTTTAGTGCAGCACCCAAGGATTAAGGATCTGGTGTTTATGGATTCAGAACCCAGGATTAATATGGATTAAAAGCTTGGATAGGACAAATGAATGATAGAACAGTGGCCTATAATTCATTGGTAAATGAACATTTGAAGCGTAATGGAGAAATAAAAGGAGATAAATATTTAAATGGGCCCAAGACTAACAAGAATATGGCAGACAATATGGCATAATTACTCCTTCTAACACTTCCCAGCGACTTTGCAGTCTTATTTACCTTGAGTAAGAAATGTTTGGAGGAATTTTTCCCATGTAGGGAATCGTTTCTCATTGACTGGCTGTACGTGCTGTGCTAAAAGGCCCGGCAGCTCCTGGGAGATCTTCACCAAAGCTAGCTCCTGCAGAAACAAATTAAATAGAACCACAAGCAATTTTACTACAGAAATGAAAACTGCTTGTGGGGTGATTAAAAACCAGGCCTCCAACAGGCAAAAAAAAAAAAAAAAATGTGGTTACTGTTTACCCACAGTCAGGAAGCCTTTTTTAATTTTTCTACTTGCTCTTCTTCCCTCCTCCTGCAAACTGTCCTTCTCTGAAAGCCAATCTCCCCCTCAAGCACAGCACCTCTTGCATTATAATTTATATCAATAATTGGATCTGGCATCTGAAAATGCCAGGTACTTGGTAACTGCTTTGGGATCAATAGCAGCAGTCAATAACTTGTACATTGCTTGTATTTCGAAGCAGCATATTGAAATAGTCACATATGCCAGCAATAGTTTTGCTGGTTCTGTGTTGAAGCTCTTTATCAACCCAAATACGCTTTAGTTAGGAAAAAAAAATTAGGAATAATCAAGCAAAAGCATTTCTAAAGCAGGAGATATCCTTTTAAATCTGTAAAATATCTGTAGCAAACTCCCAAGTGCCTGTGTCTTTGGTGGAATTTGATTAGTCACTCCACAGCTAAAGCAGCTTTTTTCCTAGTTTTAAATTCTTTATTATCACACACACAGCCCAGCCCCATTAAATACAGCAAGTAACTGCTCTGCTTTTACTGCTCCCCAAAGTCCCAGAAGAACAGGAGCATATAAAGTGCAAGGACCCTGACTGGATTGCTTCAGGCTCCTTTTCTTGCTGCTTCATGAGCCTCCCCCTGCTCCCCTGGGGCTCTTTCCTCTGTTTTCCATCCTCTCTCCTCAGCACCCCATGCTGCAGAAATGACCAACCCTCCTCTGATCCTGCCAACGTCCTCAGCCACAATCACTTCATCTCAGGCTCTGGAGGAACATGAGGAAACCTCATGGCTGACAGCTAAGAATAGCAAGTAAAAAATTAAAGCTGTTTTTCCGGAGCAGTGAGTTTGTAGAGATGGGCTTTGTCACGGAGCACATGATGTAAAGTAACCAAAAATGCAAATTCCGAATGACTTGGCTGTGATTTGCCTACCAGAACGAGGAGGATGGAGAAATGATTAGAATCACTGGATGGTTTGGGTGGGAAGGGAACTCAAATCCCATCCAGTTCCACCCCTGCAATGGGCAGGGACACCTCCCGCTATCCCAGGCTGCTCCACCCAACCACGGACATTCCCAGGGATCCAAGGGCAGCCACAGCTTCTCTGGACAATTGGGGAATCTGGGATTAACTCTGCATGCAGTAGAGCTGGATAAACCCTGGTCCTGCCTGCAGCCACCCTGAGACTTCAGGAAAGGGATTTTCCATCTGTGCCTCAGCTGCCCAGCCATGGAAGGGGGATAGTTGCTGTCCCTGCCTCACATGGAATTGAGGAAAAAATGCCTTAAAAATATTGAGGTGCTTAGATGGTGATGCTGATATGGGATATGTGGGCTCCTATCATATAATAAGTAGAAAAGGATGTTCTTGACTTAAAAAATATCACCAAAAGGGGGGTTAAAAATGGTTTTAGTCAGTAAATCAATATACTAAGCAGCACAACCTCATGGCAAAAACAAAGGAGCACATAAAACATGAGATCCAAGCTCAGAATTTACCCAGAAACAAAGGAGCACATAAAACATGAGATCCAAGCTCAGAATTTACCCAACTTCCGTATTTACCCTGCTGATTTCCTTAGGATCTGAAGGAGGAATTTTGGTTTTGGATGGTTCAGCTGACTGGAACAGCAGAGCAGTGAGCAAATATCCATTGGCCTTGTGTGGGTTTGTGTTTGTGCTGAATTATTGCTGAGCCAACAAGGCACAGGCTGAGGTGGCTCGTGAAAATCACCGTGGCTTTGGAGAGAGGATGTGAGCCATGATGGATGTGCTGGAATTGCTGCCCCACAAATCAGTTCACAGCTGGCAGTGCATCCAGCAACACCTCTGTCACTCCCATCTCATCCCTGAGACCTGCTGACTTGGGGTATTGAGCAATTTCAACAGAAATATAAAAACAAACAAAGCAAGAGGTGTGCGGTGGCTGCCTGGAAGATTTTGATAAATCACAGGGGGTGAAAACCAGGAATGTCTGTTGGATGTGGAGGCATTTGGGAGTGCTGTGCCCAGGCTTGTGTGAGTAACAAACTGGGACACAGATTTCCAGTGCAACAATTCCGAGCTGTCTCTTGGAGCTTGGAGGATGGCGCGTGGCTGTGGAAGAAACCTCCCCAACCTGGCTGCAAAAACAGGCAGAACTTCCAGGGGACTTTTCCTCTGCCTTTTCCAAGTTCTTCTTGCACATCTAAGGTGATGGATAATAAATCATGGAATCCTGGAGTGGTTTGGGTTGGGAGGGAACTTAAATCCCATCCCATTCCACCCCTTTCATGGGCTGGGACGCCTGCCACTATCCCAGGCTCCAACCTGGCCTTGGACACTTGCAGGGATGCAGGGGCAGCCCCAGCGCTGGTGACTCTGGAGGATGTGAGCACCAAACCCGGCTGTCTGACACAAACAAAGCAGGATTTTAAACAAATAATCAATTGAGGGAAATCTGGCACACTCCCCTGGAGCTCCAAGCACACGTGGCAGGGCTTTGAACACTGCCTGGGCTATCGGGGTGCTCACAGGAGGGAGTCACCCTTTAAGGATCGGCACCTGGAATTCTGGCTGGAGGGGTTTTTTTGCAACTGTAAGCTCTAAAAAGGCAATAATCCTGATTATAGGGAGTTTTAGTAGGAAAATTCAAGCCTGGATCCAACATTCACTCACGAAGTCAAACCTTTTAAAAGGATCAGTGCTCAGCTGGCTAATTTCATTTAAATTGGAGAGCATCTCCAGCAGAGCCTACCAATGTTTTATCTCTTGATGTGGTCCAAAACAATCCAGGACCACAGGCTCAGCTGAAACAGGGAGCATTTGTTCAAATCTTGCAGCTGATGTTTCTTTGCAGAGAAATGAGCAGCCCTAATATTCTTTACATCATGTAGAAATCTTTACATCTCTCCAAATTGGTTTTGCACCCTTTTATAACAATGAAGAAGCACCAAAAAAAAAAAAAATTAAAAAAATTACAACTTTTTCCCACTAAATGAGAAATCATTTCTCACCCTTCTGCAAGATGAATTTTGAAAGGTTTTCTTAGGCAGTTGCAACAAAAAATTAGGATCAAGCGTGGCAGATGTTGAAGGCAGTGGTAGGAAATCTGCTGGAGACAGATCAGTCAGCAAAGAAAAGCCTGTTGAGAAGAGAAATAAATAAATAGGAAGAAGAAATAGAAACAGGAAGAAAGATCTGGGGCAAGAAAGAGGCTACAGAGCAGAATGTGTAAGACCCAGGGCTTTTTAGCTAAAAATCAGACAGAAAGGAAATTATTTAGACCTTGCAAGCAAATAGAGTGAAGAAAGGAACTCCAAGTAAGTAAAGCTGAGGGGGCCAAAGAGGAATAAAATCAGCAGAGAGCTCCTGAGCAATACAAAGTGCCACGACTCTGCTGCAGTCAGTGGAGCTGTGGCAATTTTTGCCTCTTGGATGACACAATGACAATTCCTACCATTTATAAGTACATCCTTTCTCTTGTGATCAGTGGAGCTGGGATAAGTTATTCCAGTCTGGATGGGAAGTGGTCCAGCCCAGCTCGTTCTGATGTTCTCAGTGACACAGAAACCATGGAAGAAGCCAGTGACTGCTGCCCAAATGTCCAAATAACTGCCATTACTTCCTATTTTGCAAATTAAACTGAATGGACACTTATTTCCTAATTCAGATAGGTCCACCCTGGCCAGAAGCACAAAGTACCACAGTGAACAGAATAAATGAAGAGGTCTATAAAACTGGGAATGGCTTTGGAAGCGACACACTGAGCACCCCTCTATCTATCTTAAAGTTTGTCACCTGATTTAAAGCCTGGGCTTTTCACTGTTAACTGCAAATTTTAAAATTAAAAAAGTGCCAATTTTGCCTTCCCCAGAGCTGGAAAGGCATGTTCTGAGCTTAGGTCCCATCATGGCAAACAGCCGTCATTACCGCCTCACACAAATGTTTTTCCTATGTAAAATTGCTTTGTAAAATATTTGCTCCATCTGCTGAAAGGAGCAAAGACAATTTTCCCTGATAGCTAATGGCCCATTTCAGCTGCCTGGCATTGAGTGGGATGCTGAACACAGAGCCCAGAATCCTGCACTTCCCTGGGCTCATCCTCGCTCGGAGCCGGACACGGGGCCGGGATTGCTCCCACTCGAGGGGTTTTTGTGGGGCTGAGGCACATCTGCCACGCTTCAATAAACCCCACAAACAGCCCCTTCCCACACTCCCAGAACAAGGAGCTGAGTTCCCTTTCAAATCTCCAGCCCTTCAAGTGCTGTTCCTTTTTTCACACCACATGGGGCCACGTTTCTCCGGCCGGGCTGGCGCTGCCGCTCCGCGCGCTGAGGGTTTCGGTACAGAAAGATCAAGCGCTTCTTTCAATTCTAAATTCAACTACAGACACACAAAAACCACACAAAACCCCCCCTGCCCTGCTCCAAACCCCCTCCCAAGTGCTCCTCTCATTGTGCACTTTCCTATTTACCATCCATTGAAAAGCACATGTTTACATTGTGCCCTGAACTACTTCAACATCTGCTAACAGACCAATAAAAAATAAATAAACCAGGATTGTTTAGGAAGAGAGATCCTTCCTATTTCCTGCAAACACTCCGAAGCTGGCAGCAGCAATTTGCTGCCAGATCCCTGCTCAGAAAACAATCTATGCAGGGAAATCAAAGATCAAATGTGTGCTGCCAAAAATCAGCCAGAAAAAGGATCTTCGAAGTGCCGTGAACTCCTCAAAGAATTCTGCTTGCTTATCCACTGAATGGTAATTTAGGATTAGGATAATTTTCTTTGTTAGTTTGCTTTCTAATCCAAATAAATCTTCCAAACTGTCTCTTTTGCAAGGTGCATCCTGCATGTTCAAGGTTGCCCACATCTTCCTTCAGAGCAAAGAAAACAGAATTGTC